ACTTTATTAATATGGTCAGAGCAGCTCAACATAGAGTTAACAAAGAAGCCTAAGTTTCTAACTTTGTCAGTAAACGTAAGGACACTATTACCAACAAACATTTTTGGAATATCCTCAACATGTACAACATTGTTACTAATGGGTAACACATATGACTTCGCAGCATTTACGCAAAGACAATTATCACGGGACCATTGCGATATTGCAGACAAGTCACTATTTATTTTATAACACAAATCTTCAACAAGACCGACACGGCTAGACAAATACAATTGAATGTCGTCAGCATAGGCATGGACATTAACATACTGACAAACAGAAAATACATCATTGACAAAAAGACTAAACAAAAGGGGACCAAGCACGGAGCCTTGCGGCACACCGGAGGCAAAAATACAGGATTTTGATGACGCAGATTTGCACATCACCTTTTGACTTCTTCCCTCAAGGTAGCTGGTCATAAGTTTAACAGAGCTATCGGAGAATCCAAAGTAATATTTAAGCTTTGTACAAAGCAGGTCATGATTTACTAAATCAAACGCCTTAGTAAAATCAAGAAGGCAGAGAAGAGTTAAGTCACCTTTGTCAAACTGTATTCTTATGTCGTCAAGTATTTTTAACATAGCTGTAGAGCAGCTATGCTTTGGTCTAAATCCTGACTGCAACGGAGATAAAAGATTATTTTCTTGAACGAATGATAAAATTTGCTCTGCCATCAAAGACTCACACACTTTTGAGAATACTGGCAAAATGCTTATTGGCCTGTAGTCACTAGGTTCAGAGGCGGTATTATTTTTAGCGACAGGAATAATCACAGCTTTTTTCCACTCCGTTGGAAAACACGAAGTTGTGAAGCAGTGATTGATTATATGTGTGAGAGTTCCTAGAATGAATGGCAGCACAAGTTTCACAAACTTCAAGGATATACCATCCTCACCAATAGCATTAGACTTGACGCTCATAATTGCCTTCATAACTTCTGCTTCTGTAACTCCATTAAATTGAAACTTTTCTCTCAGTGCAAAATGGCTATTGAAGTTTTGAGTTAGAGAACTGTCGCCGCGTTTGCAGGCACCAGTAAAATAATCATTTAGAATGTTAGGGTCAATTTTACACTCAGTTTTATGTTTTCCATGCACATTAAGGTTTTCCAAATTGCGCCATAAGTCTTTTGATGGTAGTGATGGGTTCAACTTGGAGTTACAATACAACCGTTTCGCTTGTCTTGCAATGGTGGTAGCTTTATTTCGGGCAAGTTTGTATTGCAACCAAGCGAAAATCATGAAAACCATTTCGAATTTCAATTTCTGAAGCGTTCATTTTAATATTATTACTTTTAATTTGAGGCTTCATTATAGGATTAATTAAACCTATCACGTGACATAGACCATAAACAAATAATTGGTTTCTATAGTTAAACACTTCCAAAGAAAAATATTTTTTCTGAATTAGTGTTAGTTTTTGGTTTGTGAAAATTTTGTATTTCACTTCTATTATAATTAAAATCATGCTTGGTTGCGTGAATACGAAACTTATACAAGTTTTGAAAATAGCTATTGCATATAATACATTCGTCAAACCGTGCAGACGTGTTTTTCTCAAGCTCGCGGTTATCTTATTACTTAAATTTTTACATTGTGCGATTGTACGATTAGCTCTGATCGTCTTGCTTGGACACTTTTAATACTTTATTATTATCATGCCGTGTGGATGTGGTCAAAAAGTTGACCGCAACCATCAACAAAAAATTCAATGTGTCAAGTGCAGTGTAATTTTTCATCTAAAATGTGAAAATCTCCTACCGGCTGATATTGAATACATGCAAAAGTCTAACAAGCAATATTGTTGTAAAAAATGCACAAAAGCGCGCCGAAATTCTATTCCCGCATCTCGCCCTCGCTCAACTACTCCGTCCAAAGATGTCTCGGCTACCAACAACTCCGCTAGTTCAGCGACCGCAAATAACTCTCCGCTGCCAGCTACTTCGGTCGCCGAGGGAGCCCATATTTTAACCGATTGCAACAAAGAAATAACTTTGCAGGCTGTTATCAACGAACTTCGATCTCTTAGATCTGACCATGAAAAAACTATCTCAATAATTAGCTCTTTGCAAAGCGAAAAGAAATTGTTGATAAAAAAGTTGAAGATCTGCAGATAGAAGTGCAAGCTGTTCGCCGCAAACTTTGTTATTTTGATGTCGCTGCCATAAAAGATATCCGCAACGATTTCAATAAAATTCACGAAGTTATTACTACAGCCTCTAGAAACGGGCAGACACTTTTACCTCCTGCTCCACCTACTTCCTATGCTTCTGCTGCACCTCTCTCTGCTACTGCCATTCGTGCCGATGATACTCTCGCTGCATCTAACTCATGTAATGATACCAACTCCAACAACCTCTCCCTTGCTGCTTTGCGGAATCCCAATGTCTACAATAAAGCGATAAAGCAAATTTCTTCTGCTCCGCGGCCCCCTCCGCCATCGTTGTCTGTATCTCCTAACAACCAGCCAGGGCAGTCGACAACGCGCAACTGGTCTCTCTAAAGGGGGCGGTGTACTTGTTGCCGTTCGGTCGAGTCTACCCAGTAGGCAAATAACCCTGTCCTCTGAAATGAGTTCAGACCAGAGCCGCTTCGATATTGATCAAATTATTGTGAAAATCGTTATAGATAAATTTCATGAATTATTCATTGCAGTAAGTTACATACCGCCATTAAGTCCAATTGAATTGTTTAAAATTCATACAAGTAATTGTTGCTCGATATTGAATAGTCTATATGATAATCAAAACATTATAATATTGGGTGACTTTTATTTGCCAAATGTTAAATGGTGGTTTGATGATGACGTTAAGCAATTTTTGCCAAATGATGTAACAAGCGAGAGTGAATGTGGGGTACTCGACACCTTTGCTGAGTTTAACCTCTCTCAACTTAATAGAGTTCATAATGACAAAAATCGTATTCTTGATTTAGTGTTTACTAATAATGATCTTAAATCTGACGTCGAATGCCTCTCTTCACCCCCTCTTTCAAACTCTATGCATCACAAAGCACTATGTATACGCTTTGAATTTATAAATTATTTAAAATCAGTTATTTATAATTGTAAGAACTATAATTTCACTACAGCCAAATTCATTGAGATATCACGCTCGCTGAATTCTGTTGGTTGGGAATCTGCCTTAGACAAAGCTCTATTGTCACAGGCCTACGACGTATTTCGAGACAACCTGGAAGCGGCAATTGAAAAGTTCGTACCTATGAAGCCAGTAAAAAATTTGTCCAAACCAGCCTGGTATAACTCTGGGCTTATTAATAGAAACAACAAGAAAACTAAGACGCACAAGCTGTATCGCAAATCGAAAGACAATTTTGAACTTTTTGAAGCCTACAGTAGTTTACAAAAAGAGTTTGACGCTCTGAATAAATTTTTATACCAGAGCTATATACTGAACATTGAGAGCGAAATAAGAATAAATAGTAAACGGTTTTGGCAGTTTATAAACAGCAAAAAGAAAAACACCGGAATTCCTGATCTGATG